CAGCAGAAAAAACCACACACTGGCTTCACACCAACTTTCAAAGTTAAATCAAAACATGGAAGAAAAATTGGAAAGCACCGAATGATAACGAGTCATTCATTGGATGAAACGGCCCACAACAGGCAGAGCAAAACAAACCGCAGACTCAGCGTCAACAAATTAAACGTCAAACACAAACGTCATCGCCAACATTTCAAAGACAACAACAACAACGACAACAGCAACAACGTTAGAAACATTTTGATTGACAACTTCTTGAGCCAATCAGATCCGAGCATGAACACCAGTCACATAACCCTAACAAAGGCCATCCTCTTACTAGAGAGAACCATGAATAACCACTGCCAGATGCTGAAACGAAGGATGTCAAAACAGCAGCAGCAAAAATTAAGTGTCTCATCTGTCTCTCAGTACACCCTCAGCCAGCAACAACATCACCAGCAACAGCACCAGCAACAGCACCAGCAACATCACCAGCAACAAGTTGTTGCTAGTCCGCCTTCTAACATTAGAACTGACAAGGTAGGTCTTTGCTTTTTAAAAAATCTTGTCCAATTTTTGACGTTGGTATTGTTTGTTTATAAAAATTGTTGATGATAATATTTAAAATGTTAATAATATTTTTAGATTTTGTTTTAGTTTTGCCTCTGGTTTGGCCATCAATGATGATGAGGACGATGATGTGAAGTAAAATGTTGAGTAATAACGATCAGTTATTTATTTTATGTACCTAGTGGGCTGCTAACATTATGCTACTGAGATGATGAGTTTTCGTAATGTGTTGCTGTTGTTTTTTGCAGAAATGAAATTAGTTAGCAGAGGTCGTTCTGGATGATTTAGTTGAAAATGTTGGGAAGTTATGTGTCGTGTTTCGGTTTAATCCTTGATCTCTTATATTTAAAATTTTTTTTGTTTAACGATGCTTTTTGTTGTTTATATGATTTTTTTTATATTGTTTGTGGGATTACTTATGAGTTTATAGACTCTAGCGAATTTCAGGAGTGAAGTTTTTTTTGTTTGTGTTCAGCGAAGCGTGAGCATGAAAAGTGGAAGGCCATTCAATCATCTTCCTTCTTGCGAGAAATAATTTTTTGCTAAATTGTTGATCCTTTATACAGATCTCTGTAGACTATGTTATATAACACATCTTTATAATTTTCAAGTGCTTTTAATTTCATAAATTGTTATTATTCAGCGTCTAAGCTCTTACTGTTTGGCTATTTCTACATTTATGATTTTTATTTTATAAGTATAAAAATGTTAAATTTATTAATTCAGAGGTAGTTTTTTATGTAATGTTTGTTGAAGTATTTCACAATTTATATGTACATCTGTGTTTCATGAAGTGTTTAATGTGAATTCGAGTATCATTATACATAGATATAATCATAGTAGTACACTATTCTGTTTGCCATCCATTTTCAACATAAAGTACTCAATAGTCATAATACATTATTAGTACATGTTAAATATATTATATAACATTATTATATATCATTGAATGTTGTTAAAGTGACGCTACGCGAGTATTGGTGGATAAAAATGCATTATTTAGCAGGTCTTCTGCCATTAATTTGATCGTTTATGTGTGTGAACACTGAGTAAAGCAGGAAGCGCTACAACACATCTAGTATACATAATTTCACATTTCCTCGAATATTCAATTTTTATCTAAATTATTACTTAAACTCGTTTAAAACAGAATTATCAGAAAAGAAGCAATTTGTATTGAATTACTAACAAACTTAACAAACAAAGAACGAAATGAACTGAATGAATTATTGAAATGAATTCGAAAGTTCATTCGTTACAAGCCTTCTAGGAATAAATTAACGTCCAACTATTACATAATAATGAAAATATTCATTCTTTGTTCGAAGAAAACTGAAAAAAATATTATAGAGGATAAACGTAAATAAACAAACTCAAACATAAACATCAAACAAACCCATACATAAACATACACACACATACAAACAAACACAAAATTTCAACACATCTATATGGTGTATAAACAAACAACAAACTCAAACATAAACAAACAAACACACACAAAAACATACACACACACATACAAACAAACACAAAACCATTCAACACATCCATATGAATTTTTCTGGTATGCTATGCGGTATGCAGAATGTTTACATTTGAACAAACAAAACAAAAAAATATTTTGCAAACTTACTGTAGTTGTTGCTACTGGCATTAATGCTACTTACTGCTTTTAATGTCTCTGTTAACGTTTTGTTAATGTCATTGTAATAGTAGCATGATGTTTTGTTAATGTTATTGTGATTTGCATAAAAATCTTGTTAATGTCAACCTTGTTGATGTTGTCTGATATCGTGGCAGTTAATGTTGCTGTTTGTTGTTGTTGTTTGTTGTTGCTGTTTTGTTGTTGTTGTTGTTGGCTTGTTTCTAAATAAGGGAACACCAGAGACAGGATGAATAAAACATGGAAAGAAATTTTTAGTGTGATAACAAAATGTAAATCTGAGATTATAACGTGAAAATTTACGAGCTGATAAGTTAAATTGATAATCATTCTAGCATAAACACCTGATCCGCTGATTGCGACTGCTTCCATGCTTGCAGTTGGGAGATTTATGAATGAAATTTATTTTTGAATTTGAAAAATTGAGAGTATGTGCTGGAATATATGCAGGATTGAATTGAAAAATATTTTTAACGGTATATTGATATTGATAAATTGATGGGTTTGAAGTTCTCGTTAGAAGAGATGTGATCAAATGTATAAACTAAATCCTTATCCTAATTCGAATTATTATTTAAATTAATTTTTTGCCAAAATTTGTATGAATTGTTAATATTCGGAAATTTGAAAATTTAAATTATTTATAAAATTGACAAAACCTACAAACAGGTTCTCGTTTACATGAGAGTCATCTTCTTAAAAATTGGTAAGTCGTTCGTTTGGGTGATTTGTGTATGCGTGTGTGGGTATGTGCGTGTGTGTATGTTTGTGTGTGTATGTGCGTGCGTGCGTGTGTGTGTGTGTGTGTGTTTGTGGGCGTGTTTCACGACTTGTTAACATTATTTCTTGCGTAATTTTTTGTAATTGTGTGAATTTTTTAATTTATTTCTTGCAGGCGAGATAGATACGATGAAGGAAAATTTCATGGCAGATGCTTTCATCCAGGCCAGGTGGAGGGAGCCGTCCCTGGATGGACAGCAAGAAAATGTGAGTAAGTGAATGAACAAACGAACAAACGAACGAACGAACAAACGAACGAACGAACGAACAAATTAATGAATGAATGAATGAATAAGAACAAACGAACGAACGAAAGAACGAAAGGAAGTACTAGCAAATAGACGAACGAACGAACGAAACTTGAAGTGGATGAATCAACATTAAACACGCGAAAGCGTATATATGAATAATTTAACGATTGAATGAACAGATGAATGAATGAATGAACGAAAAAATGAAAGAATGAATGATGAATAAGAAAATTTCTCGCTCCTATGGTTTTTAATTACAGCATTTTACCTGAAAAATTTGGGAAAATTATTTTTTAAGATTGAAAGTTAATTTGAAACATTTACTTGTTACAACGTAAAAAATGACAAACAGATATAAATAATGAGTTTTGCAACAAAAATGTTATAGCGCTGCTTATACTAAGCTAAAGAACTAAATCATAAAAAAAAATTAATAAAACACACGAAAATCATTAAACAGAAAAGTGAATACAAACTTCGTATGTGACGATTATTCCAGATAATTAAACGTATGACGTGAAATTGAAAAACTGATTCAGAAATGACGGGAATAGTCGCGGAGCCTGAAAAATAAAGGAAACTTTCCAGATGAAATTTGAGACCATGGAATGAATGAGCTAAGAGAAATGTTATGTTAAATAATAATAATAACAATAATAATAATTATTATTATAATAACAATAATGATAATAAATAAATAATGGATGTTGGTTAATTTGATGCATGCATAAATAAACAAAGATGAGTAAAAAATTTTCCCGAATTGTTTGTTTAAACCAGCACCATCAACTGCAGCAACAACATCAACAACAACAACATACCACAATATCAACAACACCAACAACAACATCATCAACAACACCACCACCACCAACAACAGCAACACCAACAACATCAACAACAAAAACATGCATATTTTTCATCTCTTCCATTTCTAGGTATCAAATTATTTTTTCAGAAGCGCTCAATAACAAGGCGATAAGCAACATCATAAATTAAAATGACAGTTTGATTGGCGGATGGAAGAGTTGATTGATTTATTGCCGGCTCAGTGGATGAATGAATGTTGATAAAAATAGGTTGATTAATGATAGATAGTCTGTAAGATACGTTTATGATATACAAGTAGAAAGATAGTATTAAGATTAATGATAGTAATTGATATACTTATAAATAGATAGTCTATAAGATACTTAAATGATATACTAATAGATAGGTAGTCTGTGAGGTACGAGTTTGATATATTGATACTAATAATTTGATAAATTGATAGATTATATGATACATAGATGAATTTAAAAGTGATTAATATTATGATAATATGAAGAAATGATGATATATCTGGTGCCAGGCTGGGTAGATATAAGCCATCGACGTTCAATCACACAAAGAATTGTAATATAAAATTTTTAACCAGTTAATAAAAACTTAATGAAATTAAAATGATCAGTAATAATGATTTACAATATTAAAAGCAGAATTCACAAGTGAGAATACAATTATATTTTTGTAACTAAATACCCAAACTCAATCGTTCTCTCTCTCCCCCTCTCTCTCTCTCTCAATCTCACTCATATACACACACACATGCACGCACACAATTTTCTAAAAAATTCAAACTCTTAAACTTTTACATCATTTGTATAAATGCAAAAATGACAACTTGAACTAATAAACCAAAAAGTTACACATACCCCACACAAAATTGTTTTTCTTTCCAAAAGTTTATGTCACCACAATCCATGGAGGAAATGGATTGGGATAAATACTGGAACCCCAAACTGTACGTGGAGAACAATTTGGGAGAGCCAAAGGAAACCATCTGGCAGACCATGACCTTCAACTGGAAAGGTGAAGCCACCGTTTATGAAAGGAGGCGGATCAAGGGATGCTTCCTGGAAAATTTGGAGTTGGATGACTTCCCGTTTGATACGCAGGTTGGTTGGTTGATTGATTGGTTGGTTGGTTGGTTGGTTGGTTGGTTGAGTGGTAGGTTGAGTGGTTGGTTGGTTGGTTGGTTGGTTGGTTGGTTGGTTGAGTGGTTGGTTGAGTGGTTGGTTGGTTGAGTGGTTGGTTGAGTGGTTGGTTGGTTGGTTGGTTGGTTGGTTGGTTGGTTGGTTGGTTGAGTGGTTGGTTGGTTGGTTGGTTGGTTGGTTGGTTGAGTGGTTGGTTGAGTGGTTGGTTGGTTGGTTGGTTGGTTGGTTGGTTGGTTGAGTGGTTGGTTGAGTGGTTGGTTGGTTGGTTGAGTGGTTGGTTGAGTGGTTGGTTGGTTGGTTGGTTGGTTGGTTGAGTGGTTGGTTGGTTGGTTTGCTAGTTAAATGGTTGGTCGTTCGGTCGGTTGGTTGGTTAGTTTAGTTTTAATGGTTTAAAAAGAGTTTCTGTTTGATTTTTACATTTTAACTTTTTTTTAATGTAGCATTCTAATGTTATTCAATCATGCCTCTTGCCATCATTTAGATTATCTTATCATTATATAGCGGGTCACTATATACCCCACACATAAAATATACAAGACAACAACACCCACACGGCATACAAACAACATACAAACGACACACAGACAACATACAAACAACAACATACAAACAACGTTCAAAAGCATACAATCTTTCCAAAAATACAAAGACAACCTTTCTGTCTACGTTGAATTCTATCTTTGAAGCGATTTTAAACAAACAATAAGATGTTTGGAGATTTAGATTGCTGATACATAACACAGGTAGACTAACCATATGGACGTAATAATAGTAGCTATTATTATTATTTATAATTATTATTATTTATTATTGTTGTTGCTGTTACATTCTCTCATAACATCGTTGTTTTTATTATTCCTATTTTTATTAATCATGTCTTCTGAGGTTTTTATTTCCCTATCGATACAATAGGCAAACATGTTGTTGTTTTTAAAAAGACTGGCGCTATGAATAAGTTACTTGCGAAACATCAAAGGAACTCCCGCGTTTACATTGGCAGGTGGCGCAAAATTTCGATTTTAGGTTCCAAGTTGTTTAGATGGGTTAGAATCTGTGTATTGTGTCTTGCGTGTGTGTGTGTGTGAGTGAGTGTGTG